TGCCTTCTTACTGCCTGACCCCCTCAGGGTATAGTGGGCAGAGAAAGGCATTCAAGGCTATGTTCATCTTTAGACTCCTGCTTCACAGCTCCCAGCAGCCCTGGTGGTGTAGTGCCTATGAGTTGAAGTCCTCAGGGTCAGCAGTTTGAAACCACCAGGTGCTTCTTGGGTGAAAGATGAGGCTTTCCACTCCAGGGAAGCATTACAGTCTCAGAAACCCACAGGGGCAGTTCTACCCTCTCTTATGTGATAACTGTGAGTCGTCGGTTCTGACCCATAGCGACCTTATGCACAACTGCCGTGTGCCCTCCTCACTGCGGTTCCTGTGCCTGCTGAGCAAAAGGTCAGCAGTTGGAAACCAGCAAGTCACTCTAGGGGAGAGAGATGAGACTTTCTACTCCCGTAGAGTTGCAATCTTGGAGACCCACAGGGGCAGTCCTACCCTGTGCTATAGGGTCGCTATGAATTAGAATCATCTCCTGGGCAGGAGTTCTCCGCTCCCTGTGGGTGGCTTTCCTCTCCTGGGCTTCTGTCTCCAAGACAGAGATGACCTGCCCATGGTGGTGGAAAGCAGTAGAAAGGACTGAAGAGACCCCCAGGTGGTTTCCAGCCCCAAGAGGGAATTACCATTATCCCCTGTTCATTAAACACACAGAAGTCCCTGGGTGGCACCAATGGCTAAGTGCTTGGCTATGAATGGCACTGGATGGTTGGCAGTTTGTCTCTTCCCAGAGGTGGCTCAGAAGAAAGGCCTGGCAATTTAGCCCAGGGAGACCAAGGCCCTTGAAAACTCTGTGTAGTTCAGTTCTACTCTAACGCAACAAGGGGGGCCAGGAGCAGAATGATTTTGAAGGCAACTTTGTTGTACTAACTTAGAAGTACACATGGTTCGCCTGGTGTTGAATACCTCCAGCAGACCTCCTCTGATGAACCAAGTCGAGCTGATTAGAAAGTGTCAGCGAGGTGGGCAGTTTGCTCCTGAACGATGAGTTTGTGAAGGGCGGCCATGAGGCGCCCCGCCTCACTGCCACTTGTTCCGGGCTCTCTGCCCAGTGGCTTCCGATGAAAGAATGCAATGCTCCGTTCTTTGCTCATCACACGAAGCACTTTCAATTCCCCAGTGTCATTTATCATTCATGTATTCATTCATTCCTCAAATATTTACTGAGCTTCACGGAGTGGAAGGCACTTCCCACGCACGAGCCCTGAGTGACAGGGGACAACAGGGATGGCTGTCCCCTCTGGGAGATGGTGGTGGTGCTGATGGTGACCATGAGAACAGCAACACCAATGGCCAGCACTTACAGAAAGCTCCGTGGGTGCCTGGCGCTACTCTCAGCCTTCATTGTGAGTTAACCCTTGTGTCCTCCGAGCAATTTCATGAGGTAGACGTTATAGTTATCTCCATCCATGAATGGGAAAACAGGGGCCCAGAAAGGGTAAGTCACACAGCAGTCAGGGTTCACAGCCATCTAGGCATCCTGATTGGCCATGGGTGTTGGTTTGTATTGTTATTAGTAGTTTGTCAAGTCAGCTGTGACTCTTGGCAGCCCCACCCCACAGGCAGACCTCGGAGAGAGTGTGGCTTCAGGCCCAGACCCAGACGACTGCAGTCAAGCAGATGTCCCCATAAAGCGAGTCACGAGTGTATAAAAGTTGTGTTCCCATTATACTGTAGCCCGTTCACTGCAGATCGGCATCGTGAAAAAACGTGCCGTGTTTTAAGAACTGCCAAAATGTGGCTCGGAGATTCCGAGTATGCACGTACTCTTGAACAGTGGAGCTGACAGCCCAGTGTTTGCGGGTTGGCCACACACCTTTGAGTCGGGAAACCGTATTATGTGTTAAAGGCACAGCAGCAAAGCGCAGTAAAACGAGGTGTGATTGCACAACAGAGTGAAACTCTGCCCCTGCCTGCTCCTCTTCATAACGGCCCAGACGTTGAGTCCATATTGCACATCTTTTCCTGCTTTTCCACCAAGCATCTCATCTCCAGCTCTTGATCAGGCAATAGTCTCGCGTTCCATCAGTTTTGCCGGCTGTTGGTGGGAAGTGTCTTTCTTCCCCAGTCTCGGGCTGCAGGATCCACTAAAGCCTGTCACCTGTGGGTGACTGCTGAAATGTAAGATACGGGGGCATTGCTTCTAGAATCATAAACCAAAAAGATAAAATCCTCGCTGCCATCGGTCATTGCTGGCTCATAGCAACCCCCTGTGGGTGTCTGAGACAGTAACTGTGGACGGAAGTAGAAAGCACAGTTTTTCTCCTGTGGAGCTGCTATTGGTTTTGAACTTCCGACCATGCAGATAGCAGCGCAACTTGTAGCCACTACACCACCAGGGCTCCTCTCCAGCATCATAGCAACATGCAAATCCCCATGGTACAAGCTGACAGACAAATGGTGGGCTTATTGGTTAAGAGAGGAACATCACTCAGCTCCCAGACCTGAAATTGAGCTGAGCTGTGGTCCCTTGAGTTGCCTTATGAACCTTCCTTTAGATGACAAACCCCAAAGCCCCTGCCGTAGAGTTGGCTCTAACTCAAAGTGACCCTGTAGGAGAGAGTAAGACTGCCCCAGAGAGTTTCCAAGGGTGCATCTTTATGGAAGCAAATGGCTGCATATTTCTTCTGCAGAGTGGCTGGTGGCTTTGAACCTCTCACCTTTCAATTAGCAGCCAAGTGCTTCAACCACTGGACCACCAGGGCTCTGTTCTCAAGCACACAGTGCCAGCAAGTTGATTCCAACTCATCGCAACCCTGTAGGACAGAGTAGAGCCGCCCCCATGAGTTTCCAAGACAGTTACTCTTTCCTGGAGTAGAAAGCCTCATCTATAGCCTCCCGAGCGGTTGGTAGCTTTGAACAGCTGACCTTGTGGTTAGCAGACCAAATTGTCACCCACTAGACCACCAGGACTCCTTTCTAGGTGGCAAGCAAGCATGAATGATGATGTTATCTGTTTCCGGAGGAGTTAAACCTGTACCCTGCAGGGATCATTGCTGGGGGTTAGGTTGCCAGGAGACTTCCTTGGCAGGCAGAGGTGAAGACGTCCCCTCCCATCCCCGACCTGGTGCCAGACTGCTGACTGAAGGATCCAGGGGAGACACAGAGCCGCTGGACCTCGAAGGCACGGGGTTGGGCTCTAGGTTGCTCCAGAGCCAAAGGTCCTTGGAGCGCCTGCGGGAGAAAATCTACATAATCGTAATTAACCGAGAGATGCTGAAAAACGTCCAGGCTCCCACCGATTTAGAGGGAGGGCAAAATTAACCACCACCACTAAAACCAGCGATTGGGGGGAATCTCGTTAGCACTAATGCTCATTTATAGTGTGACTTCCCAACGTTTAATTCTCTTTTTGTGTGTGTGGGAGAGAGGGACTGACAATTTAAGACCCAGAAAGATGGTTTTATGACTGGTGCAGCTATAAATCAAACTTATAAAGTTCATAAAAATTGTTAAAATAAAAAATGGTTTAATAGTAATGTTTTATGGCCCATAACATTATTATAGCTGTTTTATTCCCTCTGCGTTAGGGATTTAATTGGATCGCCACAATTCTGGGGAACTCTCCGATTTTATTGGATGGGGGGCATCTTCAATCAAAATGGCCCCAAATGTCTTCAATATGGCTCCTCATTTGTCAGTCTTCACCCTACAGGCTGGGTGTGGGGCCAGTGAGCCTTCCCGGAGGATGGGGACCTGCTAGAGGACAGGGACACGTTGCCCTCTTTCTCTCTGACTCCCCAGAGTGACTGCACTCTTTTGATGAAGCTGCTCAAAGTGGCTCAGGCAGTGGAGGACCGAGGAAGGGAGCCAAGCCAGTGGGAAAGCAGATCACACAAAGTGTGACTTGAGCCCAAAGGTCAAGTGAGGGCCTAATGGAGACAGCCTGTGCTGAGGGGCCTGGCAGCCCTGCTGCTAATCGGGGCTCCACCACCTGTCAAGTGTGGCCCCGAAGTGGTTGCTTGGCCTCTCTGTGCAGGTTCCTTCACCTGTGAAATGGGAATAACAGTGCACAGTGCACAAGGTGAGTGGGAATACTCGTCTAGCCGAGCGCCACCTGACATAAATGTGCCTAGAGCCCCACACGCCAATGTGTGTGTGATTATAATGTTCTACTAGGCAGATTTTAACAAGTGTAGATAAACAGATGGCATGAATTTTAATAGCACACAGTCTTTGACCAGATATAGCGAAGATAATTATTTCAATATACAGTGAGTATGAAAATGATCAATGAGATGTTTTTATTTCTTTTGTTCAAACTAAGACGTGGGGACCAGGTGTGTATCCTACCTTTCCAAGCACATCTCAAGGCACACACTAAATCAAGAGCCACACCCACTGCCCTCTAGTCGATTCTGACTCAGGATTTCTGAGGCTGTCCACCTTGATGGGAGCAGAGAGCCTCAACTGTCTCCTGAGGAGCAGCAGGTGGGTTTGAACCACTGACCTTGTAATGAGCAGTCCTGCACTTGCCCAATAGGGCTTCTAATTGAGGCTGACCACATCTCATGGGCTCAATCTCCACATGGGGCTATCATCTGGACAGCTCAGCTCTAGTCTAAGACAAGCCCCCAAACCAACAGCCATTGTGATTTCTAGTGATCTTGGACTCTTGGCTCTGCCCCCTACCCCCACCCCACACACCTATCTCCTCACCTTCTAGAAGAGTCTGTGCCTCTCCAGGTT